CCGTACTTGGCACCAGCCTTGTTTGTAGGGAATTTTGACATACCGCCATCAGCGTCCATAGCACTCAAGTAAAGAGCACCGTTAAGACCACATGGCAAATTAGACATGTCGACATCGAACGTGAATTCCTGGTTCTTGAGCTTGAACAGTTGATAGGTCGAATCATCGGCCATAAGGTAAACACGAGAACCAACGTTGGAGCCAGTAACGAACTTCAGAGTGAGGGCGTTTCCTGAAGCAGTGATACCGTATGTACCGGTGTAATCTGCACCGTCAAGAGCACAGTTCTTGGCGCAAGTGGCGGGATCAGGACAGAGAGTTGCGTCCCAAGTATTTCCGGTGTAACAGTTGTTGTAACCGGTAGTACTGTGAAGCCAACGCCAGTTGGCATCGAGGACGACTTTGGTGCTCAAGGTCTTGCAACCACCGGATTTGGTGCATTGTTGAGAAGTAAGGGATGGATGGTTCTCGGCGGTTTGAGTGCCGATCTGTTGTCCGTACACCATAGCGGCGAAGGAAAAAGCGATGAGCGCAGCTTTGTTGAACATTTTCTGTAATAGGTTTGAACGTGAAGATGATACGGTATATGCGGACGACTCGGGGAGACGTACTGGAAATTGGTGGACTCGAGCGAGAATTGCGATGAACTTTTGGAGGAGATCTGTGAAACAGCTTCTTGTGAGCTCCACTGAGGAAGCATGAGAAGGGTGGAGAAAAGTGACTTACCAGAAATAGAAGATTATAGACCGAAGAGTAGCTTGAATCTTCAACGTCGAGCTGAGGATCCTCCAGCTTTTTGTCCCCACCTTTATATACGCGAAATAAAATCACTATTCCAAATGTTCGAAAGCAAATTCACGGCCATAGTATTATTCCAGTCGAAGAATTCTGGCCAAAGGCGGATAGTTGTTCAGGACACCTCGCGTAATGCACATCGACGACGAACATACCGTACAAGGTCCACATTGAACAACATAGAAACGTATCCGACCTTCATCCGAATTTTAACAGTGACATTAATCAAGACCCGTGGCACAATGTCGAGGGTCACGTTGTAAAGCTTGTCCCCGACATTTTCGAGCATTTTTGCGACTCTGTCCTAAAGGATTTTCGTTCTTTTGGCTCGAGACGGGGTAATAGTCCCATAAACCGATGTTGAAAGGTACCGGAGAATGCTTCGTTCTCTGTTATGCTTAAACATCGGAGAATGTATCCTCTGCAACTCAGCAACCTGTGATGACCGGGTCTTCCATTCGGACTGGCTAGATCATTTTGTATGCGTCGAGATGCTCTGTTTCAAGCGGAGGTTGCTGCAGATCGGAAGTGTGAAGATCAGCAGAGCAATTGAACGAATGAAGGATCATTCGCTCGTCTAAGACCTGCAAAACCGTGGAGGATCCAATCATTCATAAGGAATTTTGGATGCTGAAGAGTAATTCGGATCACTCACCTTCCAGAAACTAATACAAATCATGCGGGGTATTCCTCCTGCTCATATGACCATACGATCACATTCACAATCGCATGAAATACAACAGAATCTAAGGTGTTGAATTTATTTGATTTTATGTCGGTCTCGAGGACGAGGTTGAAATTGTAATTGAATCCACTCTGTAAGACATAGGTCGTGTATGGCTTCGAGTTTCGAAGGTGAATGCTTATTTTGGACTGGTTCCACTTCCAAAGATGCTTGATGCTATAACTTTGTGGAGGTGAAGGCCCAAGGAAGAAAAGAATCCCAAGTCAAAATCAGAGATTTGCCGAGGATTCAGCTTCTCCTGGTATTGCGTACGTAAGCAGACTTTTGGAGATTAGATGATGTTTGGACGGTGCTCGAGTCTGACCTGCATGCTCTTTCTCAGATGCACGGCCATTCTGAGGGAGAATTCGAATTCAAGAGATGCACCGCCAAGAGAGGCACGAGAAGAAACCTCTGAATTTCTGCCGTATTAGCTATGCGGAGAACGTATACCCTCACGAGTTGTAACCCCACATCCTACGGACGGACAATCTGAGGAATAATCTGAGCGACATTGCCAAGACACTGTTGAAGCAGCGATAAATTGACGTCGGTTGATACTTACATGACAACTCACCTGTACCTCACACCCAATCACCGAAGATAAGGAAAGACCATGAAGGCTGAAACTATTTATTATACAAACGACTGAACAAGAAACGAGGAATGACCAACACAACGAGTGAAAACTAGACAAGGAAATGGACTGAAACTTGAGATGTAGGTAGTGGACGATATGGATCAAGGATGTAGCAGGGGAGAGTTATGAATATCAAGTCTGTGGAGGACACGTTCGGATGCTTCAAGAGTCGAAGCTTGAAATTGTGCGTACACATGTGAGTCTCTGCCATGAATACGCAGTAGTGAAGCAATGAGGAGATAATATTAGTGGTAAAGGGACGGGTTGTAACTCATCTACCCAACAGCAGATGAGACGGAGTATGGAACAGTTGATGCATGGTGGATCGGTTGAATCGGGGAGAATGTGGATCAGTGGCCGAGGTGGATTGATACCAGGGTATGGAAGAGATAGGTGCACCATTGCGTATAAGCTGTAGAGATGCATGCGGGTATGGAAGGGGATGCTGGGGTGTAGGGGTAACCTGTGGACTTGGAGGGAAGTAACACAGAGTAGACGAGTAGATGATTATGCAACAGAAGAAGACCTCGGATCCTTTCTGGGGAGACAAGGAGGTAGAATGAACCAACAAGTCATCTACGAGTAAGACGACAGGACTGTTAATGTGCTACAGCCTTGCAAGATCATAGATTCTGGATTTGAACGATAAGGAACTGTTTCTCGTCCTGTTTGAAGGATATGTGAGCGTGTTGTTCGCTGGGACGATAATGGATTGGAAATTCGACATACCGTAAATTGCTCGTCTGTGGAATAGAAGGGTATGCTATCAACTTCAAGACTCGATAGACAGGACAGGGGGGGACTCGTACCTTCTTTGTCGTTGTGGAAATTCTGTAGGAATTGCAGCAATTTCTCCTTGTTGCGGCGAAGAATGTTTTCGATCTGTGGCGGTTTCTTAGGATTCGCCACAAAGACCTAACAAGGAACATGTGAGTGAATAGCGCTCCTCCTGATTTGAAAGGACCGAAACTAATGCACGTCGAGGATAGAAACGCGAATGAAGGGATCGAAATGCGTTGGGTACACACCTTGAACACATGAAATGCCTCAAACTGGATGTTCTTACTCTTGTCTCGAAGAAGGTTCATCATCATCTTCAGATTCGCCTCGTTCGCAATGTATTTAGTCATGACATTGAAATTTGCTCTATCAAGCAATATCTCTCCAAGCAATTTCAACGACTGCCGTTTGGTGACGTAGTTGGCTGACATTATAAGAGTGGTGAAAGAGCTGAAGAACTGGGAGAATAAGGTATAAACATTCAGACAAGTGTTCATAGAAAATAGCTAGCCTTACTCTGTCGTAGTTCTTATCTAGGTACTCTGCTACCATTCCTTTATGCCGAGTCAATGTCTCTTTGAGATTTGTGTATGCATCACAAGATATGCCAAAGGTGGTATTCTCAATGTAGTGAGGGAATTGATAGAACCTGGGATAACGTTCAATACGTAAGTCGACACTGAGACAAGTTAAAACTGACTCATCAGAGTAAAGAAGGATTCTAGCAAGAGATTCATGTCTCAACATCTCTCGCAAGATCATTCCCGTGTTCAATGCGATTTCTTCGTCGCCATAACCTTTGAACGCGGTGAAGAGGATTTCAGGCTTCTTTGTCGTCAAATATTCCACAGTAGGGAAACGAGAACCGATCTGTCGTCGTAGTAAGCTGCTGAAGATTTGGGCGACGTCCTTACGGGATTCAAACTCTAGTCGACGAAGGTTCACAAGTAGATGAAGGAGTAAATCTGTTGAATAGGCTTCTTGGGCTAACTGTGCGATAAGTTCGGGCATAGGCTCTGCAAGATTGGGAGGGATTTAAGCAGAGTTGATGGTTGTAAGTTCTATATAGAGATGCTCACCGCCGTCACCAAGTAAGATCGCCTTGATCTGCTGAAGATTCTTTATGACTTCGTCATTGGCCTGTTGGCAGAAAGGACATCAGGGGTGAGCGAACTTAGATGATATCGATGCTCACCTTTTTTCGTGTTTCTGTTCCTGGAGGTCCTGCCTCTAATTTGGGCAATGCATCCCTCAAACCTTTGACCAAGTCCGGGGGCGTCCTGGGTTTGGTCTTGAAGAAGTTCATGTCTCACGACGACGATGTGAATTGCTGAGTTGACGATGTAGGAGATTTGTGCTGAGGAATGAAGCAATGATCTGCACGATGAAAATCGAAGGACTGGCAACGAGGTCAAAGGAGGTAGGGGGAGAAGAGGAGGAAGGGGGTAGAGACTAACCAGAAAGTATCGATAAAGCTAAAGCAACACAACTTGAGCGCTTAATTTTGTCGTCATTAATATCGACTCGGCACCGGCGCTACAGCCTCCACCTGCTTTTGTTTCTGACTTTCATCTCTTTGCGACTCTGAGACGACATCTACGCTAACTTTGGCCGAAAGTCCAGGTAATTTGTGTCTAAATTAGCGGCTTGAGTGACATTCGGATCTATTTGTCAGTAAGTGCTTAGACGTTCTCCGATATATTCCATTTGGTTTCCTCTGATGCAGTGCTTTCACTTTTCAGTATAACCCATTAACTGAGCGCATAGCTATGAATACAGCTCGATTGGCATAGTGGATTGCTTCTGCTGAGTGAGCAATAGAAACACTGCCTGAGTCACTAGAATTTGGGAGTCGATATCCCAGAGTGAGTGCTGTTTTTCATGTGCTCGACAGGTTGACGATATTACGATGAGGATTCTAAGTCCCTTCAGTTATCATCGTTCCTGAAGGGAGACATTCCTTCTGTCTTCAGATCCCATACGGTGTACACTGCTCTCCATGGCGCAGCTGTGAAATGACCGTTGATCCATAAACAATGACTATATGTCTCCTTTCTCCAAGCCCGTTTAGCTCAGTGGTAGAGCGCGCCACTTGTACTCCATTTCGTGCATTCGCGATGGTGAGGTCGGTTGTTCAATCCAGCCAATGGGCATCATTTTTCAGTGTGCAATTTTTAAACTTTTGAATGGGCAGGATACATAACAGACTTGTGCTCGAGGGCTTGGCACCATCCGCGACCGCGTAGAATGATGATCATATTATGCAGACTGTGACAAACAGAATCAACAAACTAATCCAACCAAACGAAGCTTATCCTCGTAGGAATCTCTGTATTTGTTGCGACAATTTCCAGATCTGCACCACCATTTGTTCTCTTCAGCATAATGACTCCAGCATCTCCAGCCACACCCGAAGCAATCAAGAATTCATTCTCTGGCCCACCCAACATCATACCTCTGATCTGATCCAATCCCGTGTAAACTTGCTTCACAAAGGTCAACTTAGGTTCAACAGCAAATATGGCTATTGAGTCTCCTTTGGGATCCAAAACGGGACCAGTGTTTCGGTTCGAAACATAGATGTAAGGCTGCGAGAACTGTGGTGATACATCTGCGAGAAGGATTTCTCCCGCATGCCAATCTGCCTGAGGTGGCGGGTTAGGTGGAAGGATCGAGAAATTGGCGATGAGAGGCGTTGTACCATTCGGAGCAGGTGGAATCAACTGCTGAGTGAGAGTGCTAGAAAGTTCATGGAGGACATAAAGCATATTGCCTGATTCAAAAACATCCATCAGCCTTCCTTTTGCTTGCAATTACCAAAACCAAACTCCTACCTCGCACGGCAATGTGTCTTGGTCCACTTCCCTGAGGCTGGGTGATTTGTCCTTGAATTTTCCATTCACTCGGTGAGCCATTTTGCACCAAACGCCAAATTCTGTCTGCACCCTGCGATTGATATGTCAATTCCCTTGTGCAAATAGGATTTCAAAGATGTTTACCAAGTCAGGAATGAACACCTCAGAACCGTGTTGCAGGGCCATATGCGGGTGAGATCCAGTGAATGGGAATGTAATCAAAGGTGCAGAGCCAAAATGTAACGGGTCCGAAGTTGTTGGGATTATCATTCCATTCCCGGAATTATACTAGGATTTGAAGGACAGAATAAATAGGTGAGCATTCGCTTTTTCGATTGATGAAAAGGAAGACTGACGTTCATGATTGCGACTTGGCCATCAGCGAGAGGAGTGGCGAAAGCAGGACTGTCTCCTCCGGAGCTGACAGTGGAAATTGGAGCAGATAAAGCACCGTTACGTCCAATTTCAAAAGATTGAAGAGCGCCGTTGGTATTTTCATTAGTAGCACTGCAAGGAGACCATATTGTTAGTGAGTGTTATGGTCATATTTCGAATGATTCTTACTAAAGAATGCTCTTGTTCGTCGGATGAAGAGCGATCCATGACGGGTTGGCACCAGATTGGTATTGACCCAACACACTCAACGACGAAGTGTCGGAGTTGAAAAGGTACGTAGCGATGAAGGATGTGTATCCTCCTGCGATGATTGTAAAGTTAACCATGTTCTCAAGACGGGGAGAGGGAAAAGAGAGCTATGATCACTTACCATTTTGTCGTATCATTTATAGGCAAAAAGGCCACATGTTGCGAGGCAAGAATACACATTGTTCTTGATGACCCTCTCCACAATCCAATTGGATGGTGAAGGCGCAAAAAGGAAGTTGCGTAAGGCAAACAAAGAAGTAGGTCTTTTGACCGATGGTGTTCCGCTTAGCTTTGTTCAACAGGGAATTGTTGGTCTCGAAGTGGGTTTATTGTTATCTTTCGGTTGTCACATGTTACATGTCCTATGAAGCAAGGTCAACAACAGAATACACGGAAGAACTGTATCATTTATGTAGGCTCAGTTTTCAGCCTCTAGTAGTATGAAAATAGTTGTTCCTTACATTTATGCGATCAGAGGAAGAAGCCATATGCTGGGATAGATGTTGCATGGTGAGTACAACATGATGTCGTTGTTTCCTCTGGTGCTACATGAGCAAAGGAGCCTTGTCGGTGAAAGTTCTCAGAATTCGGGTGAGATTCTGTATGAGATTGCTTTTCCACCGAGCTCGAATCCGAGAATGACAAGGCAGTATAACTTGGAAGCTCCCAATGAGACATTCCAATAGTGACTAGTGACGGATGGGTTTCGGAAACTCGGAGGATTCAAGAACGCTTCGCTTAGACTCGAGTATAGAATTTATCTCAACCACATTGAGAGATGGATTATGCACCAAAGCTGAATTGTTGAGATCGTCCTGTTGGTGATTCATTGCAATCATGGTATATCTGTGCTCCTGAGAGAAATGCGATTTGATAGTGAGAGAGAGAGAGCATGCGGGGGCCCATACATTTTGTGCAATAACGTGGTGGGAGCATAGAAGCCTACAATACGACGACAATACAAAGCGGAAGAGGAATGAAAGTAGCTTAACGGCCACCCTTGCCACCCTTCATTTGCTGCTTTGATATTCTGGGTCCAGTAGCGGCATGGGTACGAGGAGCCTTGAATCTTGTTTAAGATACATCGATGGTATGAATGAGATATACAACATACCTTGACTTTCTCCTTCTTCTCCTCCTTGGCCTTCTTCTCGGCCTTAGCCTTGGTGATAGCAGCAGTTCGAGCAGCAGCACGGGCAGCATCGGTTTGGTTACGGCGTGCAGCAATGGCAGCCAAATCGGCACCAACGATACCACGTTGGTGTTTCACGGTCTTACGTGAACGTTTCTTAGCGACCTCCTCAGTGATACCCTTCTTGTGCATGCGACGGTACACCTGTGTCCAGGCGATCTTACGAGGGTTCTTGCGTTGAAGGAAGAGCGACTCATTCTTGGAGGTGGCGAAGCGGAAGATCTGATTTAATTGACTTGTAAATGAATCACTGATAGAGGGAAGGATAGAATGCGGCGGACCTTGTTGTCACCGCGAACAAAGAGCCTGCCCTTGCTAGGATAGATACGGTAGCCGGAGAACGAGTCGATTTCAACCTTCTGCACTCGGACAAAATCTGTCAGCTCAAGCAATTAGAGGAGGATATTGTGAGACGTACCATCTAGAATAGAGAGGATAGCAGAAGAATGCTATTAGTTTCGAGAAAACACAAAGTCAAGAAATCCCAATGTCATCCGTCCGCTGCAAAGCCAATCCAGCTTGCAAATCCGACCAAATCCACACAAATCGCCCCTCAAACTGCTCGTCTTCAACCCAGCTATCCATTTGACTGACTTTGATGACAATCCAAGCATGAATTCGAGCTCACCTTGAGGAATTTGCGGGGGTAGTCGCCTGTGTCTTGATTCTTGGGTATGTCCTAACTGGGTCCGGGCGCGTGTTGCCACCAAAGCCAAATATTTACCTTTTGTGGCAAATGAGCGCCTAACCGAGCGGTTCTCCCAGTCGAGGCGCCTTGGGCCTGGGAGACGAAACGATCTTCGCTGCTTTACTTTCTCTTCGACCTCGACGTCGTCCACACAGTTCAATGGTAAACAGGTCTGCGCGCGGGCGAAACGCAATCTTTTATGAAGGAGAATGTTCAATACACTTTGTGCGACAGCCCGTCGACATTTGACTACGCCATGCAAATATTGTGGAGGGCTCCCTTTCTCATCCTGGATTGTGAAGGAAATAGTCTTGGAAGAGCCGGTGGATCACTGTCTCTCATATGCGTTGGATCCCCTTTAGCAGAAAACATTTTTATTTTCGATGCCCTTAGTCCTTCCTTGACCCGTAGTGATTTTGAACCGCTATGGCAGCTATTTCGCAATCCTCGTATCATCAAGGTCGTGTGGGATGGAAGGATGGATTTCCTCGAGATCTGGAGTACTTATGGGGTAGGTCTCGAGGGAGCTTTGGATTTACAAGTTGCAGAAGTGGTCTCGAGGGTAACTATGAGAGGAGAAGGAGAATTACATCGACTTGAACGTCTCACACATTCCGGATTTTCCCCACATGCCGTATGGAACTTCATTCCGCAATACGCTGGCCTCCATGCAGTCCTTGGTCTCTCCAAATGCTGCAGAGATAGTGGATTCGGCGACGATTTCTGCAAAGACCGTAAGTTCTCTCCTCCATTACACCTTCACATGTGAACTCAGCTCTTCTTTGGCTCAGCCGAGGTCATGAAAATGCATAAAGATAACAAGGGCGAAATGTGGATGAGTCGTCCGCTTACCGAACAACTACTTCAATATGCCGCAAAGGATATTCAGCTCATTTCAATGCTATGCACTGATTTCATCCAAAGGGGATGGATACCTAGCGACCCAACAACCTATCATTACCTTTTGCGTCAATGTGCCCGATACGTTTCTGCTCACAGAGAGCAGGGTAAATCTACAGAGCAGGACGTCTTCCGGCCAACTAGCATCATTCCCCTCGACGTTTTAACAGAGCCTACAGGGAATACCCACAAATGCGTTGCTTGCAATCGGTCCCTTTCTATCGGTTGCTTCCAGCTTTCAGTGAACTGTAACCAACAAACTCTTCGCCGTCCACGTTGTATGTTATGTCACGTTCTCGCGTTGAAGAACAAAGTCGGAGCAGATAAGAGATGGTTCCCTGTACCAGTATGATTTTGGTGTGTTCATCGGTTCTACTCTCACTCATGTGCTGACTGATCAATATCGTTGGGTAGGGTATCTTCGTGTTTTGAGGTTGAGTTCTAAGGTATTTTATTCATTTTAGTCCGAGCCATTTATATACGTGTATATATTAATGGGTAGTATGTAAGGAACGGTACAATACAGGGTTGCAATTGATTGTAAAACCAATATGGCTCAGCAGATGGCGAAGTTTGCGAGATCGATGTCGGAACTTCCGAGGACGAATGAGAATGCCGAAGGTTGGACGTGGTCTATCGCAATTAAGGTTTCGATGAACATTGGTTAAGGCCAGCACCACAGAACTGGGCAACGATAAGCCAAAGCAAAATCTAACGCTCTTCTATCAGCACGACTTTCATGCATGCAAAGGAGTGTGTACTGACCAGTGCTACAAACACGCTCAGGGCAAGGATCCTTGTGTTTTTCCACCACATGCTCCTTCTAACAGTGCGGGCCCCTCTTCTGAAGGCTGTGGCTTGGCTCGCCATGTT